TGTGGATGATGGTTGACTGGATGATGGATGAAAGAGTGGCTGATGGATGAGTCGATGATTGATGAATGAGTTAATGAGTGGCTGATGGATGAGTGGATGATGGATAAATGAGTTGATAATGGATTAGTGGATGATGGATGAATGAGTGGATGATGGATGAATAAGTGGATGATGGATGAGTGGATGATGGATGAATGAGTGGATGATGGATGAATGATTGGATGATGGATGAGTGGATAATGGATGAATGATGGATGTGTGGACAATGGATGAATGAGTGGATGATGGATGAATTTATGGATGATGGATGAATGAGTGGATGATGGATGAATGAGTGGATGATGGATGAATGATGGATGAGTGGATGAGTGTATGATGGATGAATGAGTGGATGATGGTTGACTGGATGATGGATGAGTGGATGATGGATGAATGAGTGAAAGATGGATGAGTGGATATTGGATGAATAAGTGGATGATGGATGAATGATGGATGAGTGGATGAGTGTATGATGGATGAATGAGTGGATGATGGTTGACTGGATGATGGATGATTGGATGATGGATGAATGAGTGTATGATAGATGAGTGGATGATGGATAAATGAGTGGATGATGGATGGATGAATGGGTGGATGGTGGATGAGTGGCTGATGGTGAATTTGGTGATGATGGATGAATGAGTGGATGAATTTGAGGATGATTGATGAGTGGATGATGGATGAATGAGTGGATGATGGATGAGTGTATGATGGATGAATGAGTGGATGAGGGATGAGTGGATAGGTGGATGATGGATGAATGAGTGGATGATGTTTGAGTGGATGATGGATGAATGAGTGAATGTTGAATGAGTGGATGATGGATGAATGAGTGGATGATGGATGAATGAGTGAATGATGGATGAGTGGATAATGGATGAATAAGTGGATGACTGGATGATGGATGAATGAGTGGATGATGGATGTGTGTATGATGGATGAATGAGTGGATGAATTTGTGGATGATTGATGAGTGGATGATGGATGAATGAGTGGATGATGGATGAGTGTATGATGGATGAATGAGTGGATGAGGGATGATTGGATAGGTGGATGATGGATGAATGAGTGGATGATGGATGAATGAGTGAATGATGGATGAGTGGATGATGGATGAATGAGTGGATGATGGATGAATGAGTGAATGATGGATGAGTGGATAATGGATGAATAAGTGGATGACTGGATGATGGATGAATGAGTAGATGATGGATTAGTGTATGATGGATGAATGAGTGGATGATGGTTGACTGGATGATGGATGAGTGGATGATGGATGAATGAGTGGATGAGTGGCTGATGGATGAGTGGATGATGGATGAATGATGGTTGAGTGTATGATGGATGAATGAGGGGATGATGGTTGATGGATGAGTGGATGATGGTTGAGTGGATGATGGATGAATCCTATGCTATTCCTTTTTATTCTATTCTCTGTTATTGTATTCTCTGCTATTCTATTATATTCTAAACTATTTTATTGTATTCTCTTTTTTTTGGTATTCCGCCTCTCGGGGGGCGAAATGGGCCAGTCGACCAGACGGACGAGTCGAAGCAGAGGACCTGGGGTCGTCCACCTGCTCCAGACTCTCCATGCAGACGAGTCTGCCGCTCTGGTAAGCCTCGGCTGGAAAAATGGTCCCCGGGCGCCAGCACGACGGTGGGCACGTCGGCGACTAAAGGACAAATTAGCCCCACCCAGTCGACAGCCAGACTGACGGGTCGTAGCAGACAGCCTTCTCCGATTCCTAGTGACGCAGCATAAGAGCCTACAGCTCAGACTGGTTAGGTGTTCTCCTCCGCCTCCTCTCACTTCAACGCCAACTGGTACGTGGCCACCTGAGGCGCGTAGGCAGGATGCAAATACTCCAGTAATTGCTGCTGTGGTGCATCCATTCATCCATCAACCAGTCGGGCCAGGCCCGGGGACGGAGGGTCTCCTCTTCACATGGGAAGCCTCGGCCGGAGAAATGGTTCCCGGGCTCTAGGACAACGGTGGGCACGTCGGCGGATCCAAGGACAAAAGAGCCCCGCCCTATCGACAACTAGACGGACGGGTCGTAGCAGACAGCCTTCTCCGATTCCTAGTGACGCAGCAGAAGAGCTTCCAGCTCGGACTGGTTATGTGTTCTCCTCCTCCTCCTCTCCCTTCAACGCAACTGGTACGTGGCCTCCTAAGGAGCGGAGGCTGGATGCAAATACTCCAGTAATTGCTGCTGCATCCATTCATCCATTCATCCATCAACCAGTC